ATTCTTTCCCTCTCCTGATGTGATTCCATGAATTTCTTGCCTTGTTGTGTCCCATGTGCTAAGGGTCCCATGCAGAGTGCAAACAATAAAGGAGAGAGAAGACAGATGCTCTGCTAATGGGAAACCAAGGAGAAGAGAGTCTGTGAGGGATTACAGGCAGCCTGGGGTTGAAATACATTATTAGCTTAGCGCCCAATTCAGAAATGAGTTTTCAGACTTAAATGCCTGAAGCATCTTGGCAAAATCTCCTGGTTTCTCCTCTCAAAGGCCTTTTAAGCATGAAAGAGGAGGAATCTCAAGTCCAGGCCGAGTGGCTCAGTGTAAGCAACTTTTGCGGTACTGAATCAGAAAGCGCCAGTGATAAAAAAAAGCTGATATCACTACAAGGCACCCAGAGTATCTGCCAAAACCTAACCCATTGGACCTGTTAGCACAGGCTTTTACCAGGTTTTTAAGACCTCCATTCAAAGAGGAAATGGGTCTGTAAGAGACTGCGAGGGCTTTGTTTTCAGGAGGAAAGCAGTTTTGGGTTTTTTTTGTCTCAAGTACACAACAGCAGGGAAGCAGTAGCATCCACTCCACAGGCATGGCTAGGCATGTTAAGAAGTAGCAGCAAGTCCTTACCAAGACCTGACAGAGAGGCTAAGGTAGAAAACTGGGTCCTGAAGCTTTTTCCAGATATACACAGTCTCTTTTGAAGCTTGTGCTGAAAGTATCTAAGCTTAAAGGATCCAAAGTAGCTGAGTTAAATGACTGATTGTAGCAAGGATTGTAGCATGTTTTCACAGTACTTGGTGGCATTATCCCTCATGTATAATTGTCCATTATATGCTCAAAATACATTGTTAATTTATTTAAGACATATTTATTGCACAGCAGGCAAAAGAGTTCTTTAAACTGGAGATCAGCATTTGGGGGCACTAATGGACCTGATTTTTTTTCCATCTAAAGAAAGGCAACTGGACAAAAATCACTGGAGATTTCTGCCTGTTTGGGAATCATAGTCTAGTGACAAGCAAACAACAGAGTTCAGCTAGCTAAGCCTTTTACTTTTAACCTTGAGCTCTACATCTCCAGGTCTCCCTTTAAAATATCTACATATTTAGACTCCTAAAATAATCTCGTGATTGTTACAAAGGCAGTTAACATCCTGAAAGCTGACAGTCAGTAAGGAGATAAATATGGGAGAAAAAGCTTGAGACAATCGAGACTGCAGAACAAATCACCTGTTAGATGCCCAAGAGCCATTTGATTTCTTAGTACTTTGGTACCTGGTGTCTTGTTTTAAAGTCACAAGTAAAGGATCATGCCTCAGTCTGAGCTTTATATTGCAAAACTTCTCTCTGTTGGTTGAAAACTATTCAGTATTGCTGGCATTTTAAAAAAAAAAGTGAAAAGCAAACGCACTTCACTGTTTTAAAACCTCTTTCTAGTAAAGCTGGGCACATACTGTTTGTAGGCTCCTGTAAGTACATTTCTAGTGCCAAATGATTATGTATATTATTTGTTTGTCTAGGGAACAGTAATTAAAAACCTCACTGGCAAGCACAGGAAACCCAAACAAAATAGTTCAGTGGTTTTAAGATGGTAAAAAAGACACTGTTATCATTCACTGGTAAAGAAAATGCAAAGTAAAAACTGCCTCTTTAGGGACGGCCCGGAGATCAGACAGGCCTGGGCAGTAGGAGGAGCCAGGGACTGGGGTTTGGATCCCTCTCGTGCTATCACGTAGTGATATCACCCTCAGCGCCATCATCCCAGAGTGATTCACCAAACTGAGCCATTGAACCTTCCAGCCTTCATGTGAGGACAGGAACTGTCCCCATTTCACAGCTAGGAAAGCAAATGCAGGATAAGATTTAAAAAAACACTTGGAGATTGTCTAATTGCTCCCTTGGGAACTATTGACTTCAATGAGATCCAAGATAAGCCAGTACTGGAATATACCTTTGGCAGAAGCCACACTGTCTGCATGAAAATGTGAGGCCTGTCAAGCTCCTGGTGTTTTGAGACCGCCTGCTATTGCCTATCATGCTGTCTCCTGGTACTCCCCTGTCTCAGTTCCTCAGGTTAGGGACCATGTTTTTGTTCTCTTTCTGCACAGCACCTGGCACAGCAGGGCCCTGGTCCTAGGAGATGCAGTGTAGGACAAACAAGCCCATTTTTGCTGTTTTCTACCTCTGTTTTCTCACCTGCACTATGTGGGTAATACTACTTCACAGGATGGTTGTGATGCTTAGTCTGTAGCAGGGCTGCTTAACCCCCAGCTCATGTGCTAAATCCAGCCTGTGGATCCAGCGCATCCAGCCCATAGAGCTCCCCAAGGGTTAGGAAATTTGGTAGTTGGGGGAACAGTGGCAATTAATACTACCACTCCTCCCCTGCTGCCAAATTCTCAAGCCCTGTGCAGCTGGGCCAAGGGGCCAGGCCACAACCCTTTTCCCCCCATGTGGTCGGTTCAGGGCTGCACTGCCTTTTACCCACCTCCATGCAGCTGGATCTGACCCATGGAGAGACCACGCTGCTGCCTATCCATCCCCAGGGCAAAAAGATTGAGTACCCCTGGTCTATATGAAGCACTCTGAAGAGAACAGATGATGAGTAGTGCCAGCTCTTATTCATCTGTCAGAGGATTGTTTATTTTTTACTTTATGCTTCTTAAATTCAAAACTTTGTACAACCAGGGCTGGAGTTCTCCAAGTTTAGGAACGAAAGAAACTGCGCTGCAGGATGGAGTTGAATGGTTGATGCACAAATGCCTGGAGATACCTGTTTATTGTTCAAGGGTATTACAGCCTCCGTTGCGCTGGTATAATGTAGAAAAAGTGCTGTCGGGATCAAAGGACTATCCCTCTGATCCATCCCATCAAGATTCAAAACACCAGGAGAGACTTATCCAAAACCCAACTCTCATTGAACCAAAAGCTCTCGGGCTTTTTTGGATCAATGCTGAAATCAGATAGATGTACAGTATAGCAGCGAAGAAGGGTCACTTTGCCGAGGCAATAAAATGTTGCATCACTTGGCAGCGTTTTCTTAAATCGAGTAATCCAAGCTCATGTGTTTTTTTCAGCGCACAACTCCTGTTTAAAAATGAACAATGGTTTTAATTTAATGGGTTTAGTCATATAAAGAGTGATTTTTGTATCAACAAAACTCTTCCCTCTGGCGCACAGTGTAATTTATGGCAATCCAGCCTGCAATAAATGACATTAGCCAGACCGCTAAGCTATTTGGCTCTTTGGGAATACTGTTCCTTGTTAATCAATAACTGGGTAAATGCTCCTTTGCATTCCTTATCAAATGACAGCCAGATGGTCCTGGTAGATTCATGCTGACAAGACTGGAGAATTAGCTGGGTTTATGCTATTGTTAATCCTCAGCTGTCTGTTCTGCCAGGACCTCCCCACCTGTTTCCAGAAGCCCTAAGGTCACAACCTTAGGAAACAGTCTGGCCAGATGGTCATTTAGATACAGTGGAAGTAGGGAGCATCCCTGGGTAGCAGGGTCTTGAATGAGAAAAACAAATATTTTGATATTAAAGGAATAAACATGGGGGGGAGGATCCTAACCAGTGTGCTCAGTACTCTAGGCAGTTGCACACAACTGCCATTACTCAAGGTAGCAAAACATCTTCCAGAAACATCAGCGTAACTCGTGTGCATGTGCTTCTCCATGCATGTTCCTGAGTGCCTCGGGGGTTGTTTGTTATTTTTAAAACTTTTAAGTTCTAAAATGTGTGTGTGTGCGTGCGTGTATGCATGTGCACGCACAGTCAAGATCATGTGCTGTGTTATCCAGTACATAGGCCAACTTGCCTGTGTTAATATGTCCTGTGAGGATTGAAATAGCGTGCTATTAAATAACATGTTGCATGTCCATTGCAGCATGGGACAGATCTCAGTTTCTAATCATTTCTGATAGGCAGTAGCAATGACCTTCTTACCAGTGTGCTACCTACCTGGAAAAATCAGGGAATAAATGACTAAAAGGGGAAAATGTGTGCTAGATTAGTTTGACCCTGTGACCACTAAATCAGTGGAACTTCCCCACTGACTCCAGGAGGGCCTGTCAGACAAATGACTGGATGCAAGGAGGCATCAGGCTGGCCAAAGTAGCAGACCTGGGCTCTGGCAGAGAAGCTGTGGTTTGGCCTTCTGGTTCAGGCAGCACCTACAGGATACCCACACTTTTCAATCAGTCTTTTTTCATAACCCCAGTAGTTCAAATAATCAAATATCTAGCTTGCAACATCGTGTAAACAACTGGACACCCAGTCCTGTTGAGTGGGAAACATGCACGCACAGTGGCCCATTGACACATGGCTGCAAAGGGCCATGGTAGAGTGCCGGACTACTGCAAATAATAGCTTAAAAATTACAAAGCTTCGGTCCTTCTGGCACCCTCTGCCCCATTGCCTATAGGACAAATGTTTAATGGGTCAGTTGTTAGGCCCAAAAACTTTGGCAGTCTACTTTACAAATCTGCTTCCCTGTTCCTGTCTGTTTTTGTTGGCCAAACAGCATAGGATGAAATCCTGGTCCCATTTAAGTCAAGGGGAGTTTGGCTATGGGGAGGTGTACAGCTTTACCTGACATCTATCTTTTTGTAAGTAGATTCCATCATGCCAAAGAGAACGCTAAAAAAAAGTGTGTGTGTGTATAATATCTCAAATTTAAGAATGCACCTGTGCCCAAATCATCCTTATTTTCTGTGTTAACTACATGCTCTGATCAGAAGGCAAAACTAGCTCCAGCCATTTGAGAACAGAATCTGAGCATGTTCAAAGTTCAGTGTGAAAGCTTTTGAATCAGTCTTCCAAGAGCATTTCACACCAGGCCATAAAAAAGTACTGGAGCCAGCTCAGTGTGGCAAAGTTTGTTTCATCCTAGGTTAGACAGAAAAACAACCTAGCATTTGTGTGACAAGTATAACTTTAGAAAGCAAGAAAGGGCAATTAGCAGTTACTAACAATCCCTTCCTTTCTGTCATTTGAACAGTATTCAGGTTTTCAACAAACAGCAGACAAGTGTTTTGTATGTGGACACCTCATAATGGAAATGGTAAGAAAGCTAACTCAATAATTGTGGGATATGTTTCTTTTGATGTATTTTGAGTGTTGCAATGTTGCAACTTCTTTGCTTTTTTTCCCTTAATCAAGCTATACCCTTCTCCCCATCTTGCCAAGGGCATTTTTATCAAGGAAGCATCACAGTTCAAACAACAATGAATTCACAACAGCAATCCCATTAACCTGAGTGCAGAGAGCAGCTGTTCTGACTGAGAGTTCCACCAAGTCTGGGGGAAATGGGGAAAATGTTGATAGTGAAGCAGCGGGAAACTTTTGTAGGCTTTAGTATACTTTTGTAGCCTGTAAAATATAGAACTATTTCACAGAAAAAGCAGTTAAAGAAAAATGAAGGCTTGCTTTGTCAGCCAGCAAGGCAGCAGGAGCACTGCCTCGTCAAAGGAAGCATAATCTATTGGCCATTGCAGGAAGTTCAGGGAACAAGAGCTCTATTCCCAGCTCTGCTGCTTGCATTGTGCCTCAGTTTCCCTACCTGTAAAATGGGATACCACTACTTTTCTCACAGCAGCATGATGAGGCTGTGTTTAATTACTGTCTGAAAGCACTGGAAAACAACCAGTAGTGATGTAGGTTATTACTTTTGCCAGTTAGAGAGAGAAACTCCCAAGGAGGAAAAATGCTTCTTCAGGCACAGCCCTGACAGTGGCCAAAGAAGATGGATTGTTTTCTGAGGGATGGGAACTGCAATAAGAGTCTCTCCTGCAGACCCTTGAAAGGCTCCTGCTTCCCCATTGCCTCTGATAAAATAAATTAGTTCCTTATGTAAGCCTCTATTCTGTATACTCACAGACAGGAATGGCACAGTCCATGAAGTCACCTATTGATATGATGTCTTTGTTAATGAGCTTGGCTTAGCAGCTGTGGCTTGTGGGAGGAGACTGGCTAGAATATGTTTAAAAAAGAAGTACAAGCCAAACACCCTTGATGCAAACTCAGGGTATGAATTTGGCCAATTCTCCTTCAGAAAAAAAGCCCAAAAACAAAAAAAGAAAGGGATAAATTGCATGCTAAAGACTTCTGTCAAATAGTATTAATAAGGTTTTGGTGTGTTGGTATTTTCCTCTAGCTTTAAAATATATCTGAGTGTTAGTAGTCCTGAGTAAACAAAAAGCTTTTGCAAACTTGGTTGTTCAGTAGGAGTTGGAATGGAAAGTTAGCTACTGAGGCTTCTGGCTTGCATCCTGGTACCACTAGCTGGACAAGGATATTGTTCAGTTTAGCCCAGGAGCAAATTCCTAGAACTGTCTCATGCTGGGAGGGAGGAGGGTAGTCTGATTTGCATGCTTAATTGCAGCATCCTAGGCAGGAGTCCATAATATCTAGTTTGGTGGAGTTCATGAGCTGGGAGTTTGGCAGATGATCATCAGCCCTTTTCCATGAACAGAGGGAAATATTGCTGCAAGATCTAGTATTTAAGTGGTCTTCATCTGCTGATTCTTTGTGCCCCTCCCCACTAATGAACAGGCAGACGAACATGCCTGTGCAGTAGTAAGAATCCTGACTCTAAGGCCACAGGTGAAAGAACAGTCAGGACTGTGATCCCACCCTAATTTGGGACCAGTATCTAAGCTGCTCAGTAGTTGAAGTGCAGCTGACTCAGTTGTAGTCCTGTATATAAAATATCTTCAGAATAGGTCTAATATGTATGTAATCTAGAGTTGTGATAGAAACTCAGATTAACAGAGAGATTGAGTCATTTCTAACCATACAGGCCAGACTGAATGTGACACCCAGTCACTGGCTTGACAGTTTTTCCCATGTAGTTTATAATTTTTCCTGTGCCCTGCTGTTTGTTTCCTGTGGATCTGAACAGTTCACCCACAGACCTGGATGAATATTCATCTTATTAGCAGCTCCAGAATGAGCTAAAATGAATGTGTTGGCAGACACTATCTGAAGTCACCTTCAGAAGGTGACAGTCGCACAAGGAATTTTACCCTGCGTTATGTAACCATGGGAGCTAAAGGCATCATGTGTAGACTCCCAGGGCTGTTCCATATAACTGAGTCTTCCTGCTCAACACACTAGAGCTAGAGTTGAAACTGCCATATTTTCCTACATGTGATATGCCCCAAAATACAGCGCACACAAAACCCCAAGAAAGAAAAAAAAAATATCTTGAGGTAAGGGTGTATCAGAAGTCTGAAATCTCTGGAGTTGGGGGCTCAGGGGCTAGGGTCTGATCCAGCATGCAGTGCTCAATCTGACATACTGGTGTTGGCACCTTACTGCAAAGACTACACATGGGGTCCAGCCTGTGCATGGATTGGACTGAGTACGCTGGGTCTGGTTGTGGACAAGCCCCATACGCTGTCCCAATCTGGCACACAGTTGAGGATAGGGCTGACCACAGGTCTGGAAATTTGGTGGCAGGGGGTTAAGGAAAGGGAGGGAGCAGTGGTAGCATCAATTGCCATGGTTCCCAGAACTGGCAATTAATGCTGCCACCAATCTGCCCTCCTCCCAACACATGCATACAACTTCCGAAGTTCCTCGCACGAGGAGCCCTTATCCTTGCATATAATACACTTCAATTTTCCCCAGCTGGTTTGAGGTGGAAAGGTGCAGGTTATCTGTAGGAAAATATGGTATTTATTTGCCAGGACATGGGTTACTGAAAACTTTAAAGCCTGACTGACTGTCAGTCTCACAAGCCCGTTAAGAGTCTTTGGTCAACAAAAATTAACACTAAACTTGAACAGCTGGTAAAGAAAAGCAGATAATGTAATTGTTAACCGTTACTAAGGAGTCAAGTTTACTGAAATGATGTGTTTGAGTCATTCTTTTTCATAGATTCCTAAGGTTGAAGACCAGAAGAGACAATTAGATCTAGTCTGACCTCCTGTATATTATAGGGCCCATAATTTCAGTTTCCCTGGTCTTGAGCCAGACAGCTTGTGTTTGGCTGAAATGTATCTTCCAGAAAGGCTCTGTCTCCATTTGAATTTGTTACATTGTTTTACTTTGTCAGCACATCCATTCTCAGTTTTTTCCAGCCTCAGACTCTTCCACCTGTAGCTCAGGTAGAGGCTGCTTTCCTGTTATAAACCCAGTTCTCACAATCCCCTGCCCTCACCAAGAACCCTGATACAAAATGCATTGAAAACAAAGAGAATCTTTCCGTTAGCTTCAAGAGGCTTTGCAGCAGCCCCTTCGCTAGTGGTTCTGCAGAATGAATGTGTCCTCCTGACATGCGTTTCACTGCCTCGGTTGAAAGTCAGGTGATTGCTATGTATGGGGAATGTCATGCTGAACATGCACCAGCTCATTTTGCTGTCTGCCTCTCCTTAAGATTTTACAGGCTCTTGGAAAGTCATACCATCCTGGCTGCTTCCGCTGCGTAGTATGCAATGAATGTTTGGATGGAGTCCCGTTTACTGTAGACGTGGAGAACAACATTTACTGTGTCAAAGACTATCACACGTAAGCATAGATCCAGTCCCTGCATTTGGAAAACTCCTATGTTGGAACCTCTTTTCAATCAATACAGAAGATCTGTGGAGGGCCAGTGCAGTTGTGTCCCCAGTCCTCTCATCTCCCAGCTCTGATACTTTGTGCAGGTTATGGACTGCGTGTATGTGTACCTGCTGATGCTTGCACCTGGCCTAGCAGTAGCCTTTGCACTACTGACAGAAGCTGTTTCTACAGTGGAAACTGCCTCTGGCCATTGCCGATGACATTGGAGCTTATCTATTCATTCTTTGGGAGGAAATTGTGTATTAGATCAAAATGTGGCGCATGGTGAGGATGGTTGTTCAAGAGCCCCTTGTTAGAATTAAACAGAAGCATAGAAAAACATTGTCAGCAATACTGCTGCCCCTCTCCCCACCCTTGCCTTAGTCCCCAGCAGTGTGACTGAATCCTGGCTGGACAGTGTTTTCCTCATTAAAGGGTGGCTTTTTTTTCCCCTGCAAGTGCCATGTTAGATTTAGCAGCTTTACAAACAAACAAACAGATCCAGAGCCTGGGCTTCAGATAACCTAAAATAAATCAGAATTAAACTATATCTCAGAACATGTGAACAGGAAGACTGCTGCAGTCCAGTCTTGTATTTCACAGTGTTTATGTGCACTGCTGTGCTCCACACATTGAACAGGTCTCACATCTCATAATTTGGGTGTATTTCCTGATTAAATATATTTTTATTTTCCTTCCAAATTTCTAACCCATGGACCATCTATACTGAATAAGTGATGAGTCTCATGCTGAGCATGCATTTAGGAATAATGTTTTTCAAACATTTGAAGATTATAAATCGGAAAAATCGCCAACTATAAAAATGTCTCTTTTTATCTAGCTTGGCTGATCGGGGAGGAAGTAATGACACAGCTAGGGTTAGAATTACGTTATCAGCATCCTTATGTCAACTCTGAATTCCTCTGAGGGGACTCCCCTCTGCTCCAGGTCAAAGAGAAGGTGAATGCTCTTAGTTGATGTTAAGTTGATAACACAAACCACGGGCCAAATCCTGCATGGGCTCAGCTAGAATAGACCCTAGCACCCCTGAATAAATGACATGTTCTCCCCAGCTCAGCTTCATTGATCAGGAGAAGAGTGAATATTAGCATAATGGCTATAACAGTTGTGATCAAGAAGAGTTGACCTTTATTGTGAGCAGATGATTTTTGGGGGTGGGAGTATGGTTTGTAACTGTTAGAGCCATAGTTGCTAGGGAAAGTTGTTCCAAGTCCTAAGGTGAAGGAAGGCCAGAATACACTTAGCCCTGTAGTCAGTGTCTTACTGAT